ATTGTTCTTTTCTATTATTCTCTTTAAAGTAAAAATTAAAAAAAAGCAAGAGTAGCAGAGTGGCAAAGGGATTATAAAGTGAAGAGTAAAGAGACAGCCTTTGCTAGAACCATGGAGGGCAGCAGGCCATACAGCAAGGGATGGGATTCATTTCTACACTGCAACTGAAGATTCAAAGAGCAAAAGAAGAAAACAAGTGATCTAAGGAAATTAGCCTAAATTCATGCAAAACGAACCGGAGTAAACTCAAAAGAACAAGAGCAAAGAAAAAAATAAAGAACAGAAATTTTTGTAAGGGGGATTATTAAAATGTGAATGATGAGAAAAATTAGAGACAATTGTTACTAAAACAAAAATATTTTAGCAAGACAAGAGCAAAAGGAGATAGGCAAGACATATATTAGAGTTTGAATGCCACACAAAATTTAAATGTGGCAGTAGAAATTTCAAGAACCATGACAAATTTGAAAATAAATATAAAACCAAATGAAATAGATGTATTTCCATAAAACATGAAGTTGAAATTAGGGAGATAGTAAGTGGAAAATGGCAGTAATCCAGTAATCATGGTAGAAATAAAAAAAAAATTTAAACTTCCCTATTGGAAAATAAGAGGTCAGGTCTAAATGGTTCAAAAAGTTCTACAAATTATCAAAGATTAGAGAATATATATTCATCTTAGATTTAAATATGAAAAGAAAAACTGATTAATTTTGCTTAATTCATTTTAGATGTGAAACACCACTGATAATAAATCTGAATAATTAAACTAAGAGAAGAGAAAATGATAGATCAATCTTAATTGTAATTACAGCTGGAAAATCTTTCAAAATAATAGCACTAGCTACCTGAAAGTGTAATACAGACATAAACACTCCCCTCCCCACATACACATACACATGAGTCACATAGGACTAGTAAATTAGTCATGAGTGTGACATTCTAGAAATTGGAGAAAACAAGATGGCTGCTGAAATGGATTTTCAACTCACTCAGATTTGGTGTTCTTACCTTTCCTCCTCCTCAGACTGTCTCTTCCAAGACATCTTCTGTAGTACACAGATCCCTATCATTAATTAAGGAAATACTGCAAAAACCTTGCATTCATCCTTGATCCTTCCTTTCCATCTAACCCTGTGTTAAATTTGTCAGTGAATTCTTTTGGCTGTGTTGTGGTTTATATGGAGAGTGTCCCCCAAATTCTACTGTGTGCATAGGCAGTGAAGAGGATTGGACCCTGGGTCTGTAGCTGACTTGCCATAAGGAAGAAGCACCTAGTCAGAAAAAGTGGGTTGCTTGGGTGTGACTGGAAGGGTGTGTTTTCCTCCCCAGCTCCTCCTTTCCCTCTCTTTCTCCTGGCTGACATGAAGTGAACAGCTTCTCTCTGCTATGCCCCTCTGCCACATTGTTAGTACCTTGGAGCAGGCAGACCACGGACTGTAACCTGTGCCAAAATAAACCTGTCTTTCAGTTCCAGGTGTTGGGTTCTATGTGTCAGTGATGGGGAACTCCAGACTCATTCATCTTAATGACTTGCCACACATCAGCCACTCTACCTTCTCCAAGGCGTCATCATTTCCAGTTGGGATTATGTCAATCCTCATGTAACTATTTGCCCTTGTTCTTGCCGACCATATGAATTATCGAGCATAGCCAGAGTTAACCTTTTAATGAGTAAGATAGCTCATGTCACTCCTCTTACCACACAGAACGCACTTTTGCGCTCACTTACTACTTCTGGGCCCCCTGGCTTCTGCATTCCAGCCACCCTGTTATCTCTGAGCCGGGCTTTTATTTCTGGAGTTTTGTATTTACTGTTCACACATTCTTCATTGCTTTCCCCTTGATAGCCACTAGGCTGTTAATCCAATCACCTACCCCTAGGCTGTTTAAATTATATCCCATGGGCTGGCTGGGGATTTAGCTCAGTGGCACAGCACCTGCCTGGCAAGCACGAGGTTGTGAGTTCGATTCCCAGTACTGGAAAAAAAAACAAAAACAAAAACAAAAAAGTGATAAACTATGTCCCATGGGGATTGGGGGTGGGAAGGGAAAGAGGATGAAAAAACAAAGAAAGATGTATTATGTATACATACCAACTCCCCACAAGGATGTAAATGTATTATTTACTGGCAATCTCTAGAGGCCTTTTTGGTGGCCACAGCTGAGAGGAGTGATGCTCTTGGCTTCTAGGGTAGAGACCAAGAATGCCGTGAAACATCCAAGAATATAAGACAGTCATATACTACAAACATGTACTAATAAAAAATGAAGTCACACTTTGTTTAAATTTTATATTCTCGTTAAGATCAAAAGTTGTACCTGTTCCCATCATTCATCTTCCTTATTTGTTTTTGTTGTTGTAGCACTAACTGCTACATGTACATTTTTATTTACTGTCAGAATCCCAAATATAGTTGAGCCTCCGGGTGGCAGTATGAGTTTTCATTTTGTCCGCTGCTCTGTCACTAATATGTACAAAAATATGATAATTTAAGGAACTAAAAAGAGTGAGTGAAGAAATCACTTGAGTGCTCTTGGGAGCAGTGGTGCCTGTTCCCTGGTTCTAACTGGGCCAAGGGTTGGTGAAGTCCCACTCCACTTATAGAGAATGGGTTTGAAGTTGGTAATAAAGGTCAAACAACATGCTAGTACAAAACAGGGGCCTCCTTAGTATGAAGAAATGCTGCATGTGAGCCCACACAAGCGTGTAGGGTTACACTGCACAGGCTGCCTGCCTCTGTCTAATCTACAGGAACAAGTGGATAGAGCTGTGCAGAAAATAAGAGCTGCAGAACGCTGTATGTTCTGACTATAGCCACAAGGTTCTTGCATTCCAAAAAGAGAAGTTACCCACGTGCCCACAATCATGGCTGCTTGCTTAAACACAAACAAAACAAAAAGCAGAAAGCAGATGTATAAAATACAAAATCTCTGCAGTTTTCATGAACCACATTAGCTGGAATTTTGCTAGTGGCATCCACATATTTATCAATCAGTCCAGTGAAATCCTAAACAAAATGTTAAATAAATTATTCATGAATAAATCCAATTTCCAGTGGTTTGATGCCCCCAAAATGTACATAAATGAGCAGAAAAAAAAATATATGGCAGGAAATGTAAAGTACACATTGGTTCACCCTTACTGTTAAGACAGGATGTAGAGGCTTGGGTACTGGAACAGTAAGGGTGCAGAATGATTTCTGAGAACATAAATGGAGAATGACAGAACACATCTTCAAGATACCGAGAGACCACAACAAAGAACCAATGACAAGGAAAACGGTGAAGGTAAAGACATGCATGTGTCTCTATTGTGTCATACTGAGGATACTGGCAATCTCTAGAGGCCTTTCTGGTGGCCACAGCTGAGAGGGGTGATGCTCTTGGCTTATAGGGTAGAGACCAAGAATGCTGTGAAACATCCAAGTATATTAGACAGGAACACCTGCCTCCACCCCACGCCTCATCCCCACACATATACCAGGATATGTTCAGCCCCAAATGTCAATAACGCTAAGATGAGGTACTCTGGCTTCTGACCCAGTCTCTCCTCATTCAGGCACCTTAGCACAGCATAGCCCTGGGGTTGGGTGAGTAGGGCTGAGGGACAATTTGAGAAGAAATTGCTTTCATTTTTTAAGAACATCTAGTAGGGGAGCTCACAGATGGTTATGCCAGTTGTTCCACTTGAAATAAAGAAAAGCACACAGAAATGCAGAGAAATTTATCCAGTATGATAGAAGGCAGGGTAAGACTAAGATGCAGACAAATGGTGCGAATTGTGCTGACACTTCAGATGGCCAAATTGGGGTTTTCTTCCACACCAGTCCTGAGAAGAGACTGTAAGTTGGGAGGATAATAAAGAACACAAGGACCAGGACAAGCATAAGGCAAGTGGAGTGACAATGCACCCCTGGCTGTAATTGCTTGTCCAGACAAATTAAAAGAATCCAGGAGCTGTGTGTCCCAGGGAAGACGGGCCCTGTGGGAGCCAGGGATGCCTGGTGGGAGCAGCACCCGAGGTAGCCAGTGCTGGGAGGAACAGAGTCTGGAAACAGCACTCATGGCCCAAGTCCAGTAGTGCTGACCAGGAAGACAGGGATAAAGAGAATATACTAAAAAAGAAGTTAAACCTGCAGGTGGCCACAGATATAAATAGAGCAGATTTACGAGGAAGGAGGGCTCCCTGGACTTGTACGGACCATCACTGAAGGAGAATCTTCTGTTCCAAGCTGATTCACCTTCTCAGTTTCCCTCTCATTCATTTGGTCCAAATTCCTTGTTTTAATGATGGACATTCCAAAATATTTCTTAAAAGCCTTGTCCACTGAGTTTGTACACAAAAATAGAGAAGGATTTGTGACATCAACAATTAAAACTCATAGTTGATATTATTTTATCAATATATCCTGGAAAGCCTTAGTTTTTTCACAAATGTAAGAGAAGACTATTCGTACTCCTACTTTTCAGTAAAAAGAGGAGAAAGAAAGAACATGAAAAAGACTCCTGAATTTTGTAGCCATTCCGGAGTTTGTCTTAGCAAAAATAGCATGCAGAGAGTGATGCAATAATTCACTCTGCATTTCAAATCTAGCTTTCACTTGAGTATGAAAAATGAAACTCCCGAAGTGGATAGAGAAGGTTAAGAAGTAACATAGGATTGAGACACAACAAACCTCAAATATTCTATATTTGGTGACATACATTCTGATACATACATTTTCAGCTGTTCTAGGGGGAGGCGCTAGAAACAGACAAAATAAGTGGATAATCTTACCGAGTAAATAATACGCAGTGTTTTTACTAAATTTGAGTAATGTACCGTCAACAAGCCAATCCTGTCTCCCTCCTGTTCAAGCTCCCTCCCCTGCAAACTGAGTGCCCCAGCTCTCCAGCTTATGCTTCTAAATGTCTTTTACCCATTTACTCCATAGAGAAAAGAGATCCTTCAGGTCAGATAGCAGCTCTGCATGCTCTTCCTAAATTACTAGATATACCTGTTGTTGCTTCATGCACCTCAGGTCACAGGGATTGTCCTCCACTCTGGTCCAGTCTCTTTCCTTGAAATCTTCCTCTGCTCAGCTCCTGCAAGGAGCAGGCACAAGGCATTATTAAAGTTGGACTTGGACAATCACCTGACTTCTCTCCCTCCCCTCAGTGTGCTGTAAACCAATCATGCAGCAGTATGGCTCTACAAGCATTTCCAAGAATAGCAAAGTGAAATCAAAATACCGTAGTGCTTGTTTCACTTTCCTATAACTTAGTCAATGAAGAGAAAAGTTATACTGTCCTGAAATAACAAATAATATGTGTGAAATGTGGCTTGGAAGCCAGGAGATCACAGGGGAACACTTCACGGGCAAAATGGGAACATTTTCCATGATCTTAAGAGACATAGCTTGACTGCTGACTTACAGATAACATCCTGAGCTAAGATTCACACAACAGAATTGCTGGGCTCTATGCAAATGCCTGCTGCAGTCTCATCTTAGATATTCCCCACTTCCAGCCACGGAGTAATTATCATTAAAACATACATCAATTTCCTTGCTAGAGTTTCTAAACTGCACTTTTCTTTTTTTTCCAGGGGGAGTTTGAGCTATCAAATCTAGTAACTCAGTTAAACACTGAACAAAGAAGAGGTCAAAGCATTTTAATTAAAAAAAAAATCGAAAGCATTTTTACATACATGTAAAATGTGTAAGCAGTAAAACAAGATTAAATAGAACTTACATGACCCTGCCTTTTATTAATTGAACATTAACTTAGAAAAAAACATCTTTTATTTTGCCTAGAATTATGGTCTTATAGTCCATCCATTTCACTACAAATGACTCAAGATTGCCCTTCTTTATAGTTGAGCAGTACTTTCTTGTGTGTAGATACCACATTTTCTTTATCTACTCGTGATATAAGACATAAGCCAATCTCAATGTTCCAAAAAACTCAAGTGACAATTAATTAGTGTCTTGATAATTTGTAGAACAGTAGTAATAAATAAATTCACTTACACCGTTAGTAGGACACATTTAAAATCCTGAAATTTACATATGGCAATATAAAAAACTTAATTTTCTACAAAAGCTACCCACTCCTATAAAATTAAGCCTTTGATTTATACCAATAATTATATTAAAAATCAAGTACACCCGGTTTAAAAATTAGTTGGCAATTTCTCAAGAAACGAAAATAGAAATTCCATTTGACCCAGCTGTACCTCTTCTGGTTATCATCCTGAAAGAGCTAAAGTCATCATACCACAGTGATACCTACCCATGTTTATAGCTGTGCAATTCATAACAGCACTATCTTGGAAGGGGCCCATATGCCTACACGAACAGATAAAGAAAATATGGTATCTAAACACAAGGAAGTACTGCTCCATGATAAAGAAGGGCAATCTTGAGTCATTTGTAAGGAAATGGATGGACTATGAGACCATAATTCTAGGTGAAATAAGTCAGTCACAAAGGTTAAATATCACTTATCATCATTATATAAGGGAGTCAAAATACAAGTATTGTCAAAGCCATGTTAAGAAGCGGGGAGGGAGATTCTGTAGAGGTGGGAAGAGGGTGTGGGGAAGGAGGGAGGCAGGAGGGTGGGGAGCAGGGAGAACACAGTGGTCAAGATGAGATATGTATGTGTACAAAGCCCCCAAGCTGAATGTAATCACTACGTATTACAAACATGTACTAATAAAAAACTTTAAAAAGACAAGTCAAAAATTTTTAATGAACACTGTATCCATTGAATATTGGTAATTTTTCCATGAAGGTATGAGAACCTAAAACTTTAAAAAATCACTGATAGACTACACAATTGCCTGATTGTTGCAGTTCTGTATATTTCTGTACAATTTCTCTAGAATTCATTCCAAATTATGCAGATGGTGAAAGATGTAGCAATGTATGCTAAGGAAGAGTAACAGAAATTCAGATAAGGGGCAAACTCAGGGTGGCTAACTGTCCATTAGATTAGACCTCAGCCCCCCAGTTAGCAAATATTTTGACTCCTTAACATCAATATTATGCTAAGGAACGTGTGTCATTCTAGCTCATTCATATTCCTGTAAGCATGCTGTTTTTTTGTCACATTACTCTACCCTTCAGCTTTTTTGTTTGTTTTAAATATTAAAAGATGTTTCCCTTAAAGAAAAATTTAACAGACTCCACTAGCAGACTTATATTTCACCCTAACTATATGGCTTCAGGAAAATGTTCTGCTTTTCCACTAGGAGAGTGATAGCTAAATCTATGCTGGTGCCAGGTGTGGTGGCACAGGCCTGTAGTCTCAGCACTTGGGAGGCTGAGGCGGGAGGATCAATGTGAGTTTAAGGCTAGCCTGGGCTATATAGTGAGACTCTATCTCAAAAAAAATCTGTGCTAGTATATTAGTTAGGGTTCGCTAGAGAAGTAGAACTAATAGAAACTATATGAAAATTATGCAAGGAGATGAAGTTGCCTTTCAGTTTTAGAGATGGAAGAGTACACAAGGCTGGTGAGACGTAGTCCAATTGTTGTGTGGGTAGGTAGGACTGCTGAGTCAGGAGGATGTACAGGCTCCAGACTTTATATTCTGATGGAGGAGCATCTAACTTGGCTGTCATAAAAAGGTCATGCTGCTTTTTCTCTTTCACACATGGAATGGCCCCTACCAACTTAGGTGCTATGGCAGGAACAATGCCTGTCCTTCCTTAGTCTGTATGTTTCCAGGAAAGAGCCACATATGCCTACAGGAGCTCCTCCTGGTAGAAGGACTCACCTTCAAGGTTGTGTAGAAGATAGACACATGGAGATGGAAGGAGAAAGTCAGCAGAGGTTGAGGAAGAAGTGGAATTCTATGCAACTCCAATCCAGGTGGCTGCTCCTAAAGAATAAGTCCGGTTGCCTGAGAGGCAACATCCTTTGAAATGCTGCCCAGAGCTTCAACGCCTTCAACCTGATGAGCAGATGCACATACACTAACTTATGATAAGACAATTTCTTTAAGAAAAATATAATAATTATCAAATAAATGAAATACTTTATTTACACATCACAATATGTAACAAGCTTTAATGAGTTTGACAATGGCTGTATTGCTTCTGCACGTGGATTTAGTCTTAGAGAGACATGCATTATAGATCTGCTGTGTTGGCCTCAGCTCAGCTTTCTTTCAGACTCCTCTACCTTCTCTCACTGCAGCTGCATGCTGAGGGAGTCACCCTCTGGACATGACTAAGCCCCCACATCTCCAGAGAACAAGGAGTGAGTGAGTTAGGTTGACCTCAGAGATACACACATACGGGAAGTGTTTGCATAAACTGTGTTTTTTTCCTAGGTGGATTTTCAAATTTTGTTCAGTGGGAAACTTTTCCAGTTGTCTCCTGGGTCCTTCTGATAGTACCACATTTGGAATGTTTTACAGTCTTTTCCTACTCCAAAAAGTGCAGCTCTCGGCCCATGGTTTTCTATATTTTTATGGCATAGAGCCTTCAATGTGGTATAACTGGATCAAAGTGTAAGTGTATGCTTACTTTTTATTTTTTTTTTAATTTTTAAAAATTTTTTGGCTTTTTTTTTTTTTTTTTTTCCCAGTACCGGGAATTAAACTCATGACCTTGCACTTGCCAGGCAGGCACTGTGCTGTTGAGCTAAATCCCCAGCCCCTTTTACTTTTTAAAGATATGCCTCTCTCTATGGATTGTGCCATTCTGTATTACTTCAAGAATATATGACAGCAAGTATTTATCTGCACTTTCAAATTGTCACATTTTGCCATTTTCCACATGTAACTAGCATTTCTCCTCTTAGCTAGGAGACTGATCATCTCTTTTTAGCTTAATGACATTTGTAGCACATGTTTCTACAATCTTTTAATACTACCCATTTTGCTCTTATTCACTCCCAAATTCAGGTATAGAATGATCTAAAGCAGAAGGTGTTGCTGACCAAGGGCTTGCTACATGAAAACCTTTGGGTTGCATTTCTATCCTGTTCTCTTCTCTTATCATGAAATGGCTCCAAACAGAGTTTTTTTTTTTTGTTGTTGGTTTTGTCTTTTCGTACCAGGGATGGAACTTAGGGCCCTCACACTAACCTCCATCCCCAGTTGTTTTTTTATTTTGAGACAGGGTCTCACCAACTTGCTAAATTGCCCAGACTAGGCTCAAACTTTTGACCCTCCTGCCTTGATCTCCCACAGTGCTGTGATTACAGGCACGTGCCACCATCCCCAACTAGAACAAAGCTTCTAAGGTAACTAATATTTCTTTTTCATTTCTGTGTTACAGTGTTTATCTCACTATCTCATGTTTACCAAGTAAAGTGATATGGTTAGAAAGGTACAGAGCGACGTCAGCCAGCACCCACCATCCTATAAGTGAGTGGAGTTCGTGACATATTCTTAGTGCCGTAAGCAATCAGAATATCAGAATTGATCAAAACACAGTAAGTGTAAGTACATTGCAAAATTTGTTGGTGTTTTTGAGAATATATATATAAGTTTCTTCCACATAGCTGTCCACGCATGTGGTATCAGGTCCTGTGTGGTCCTCTACTCACCACAAAGTAAAAGGGGACTGTCACACTGAAGGTCTGAACCACCTGTCAGGCATGTGACAAGCTTAGATTCTCTGAGTGGTGTCCATGTCCCACACACAGCCGAGCACAGTGCAGAGGGACAGAAAAGTGAAAGCACTCACGAAGGCCCTTCTTCCCCCGAACAGGCATTTCCAGTAAAGCAAGGTGACTCCAGGGCAGGTGACCCTCCATTTCTGATGTAAGAGATGAGGGTATGGCAGAGCAGTTGAGGATCCCCAGGGGCTCCTGAGAGGGTACCCCGAGAGGAAGCTGAAGCAGAGAATGCAAGAGCTGACTGCTGGGCTGCTCACAGCTTTCTGGGTGAATTGAACTTAGCATTTATGGGTGTGATTCCATGTCCCTGACAGGCATTGAAAAAAATCATTCACTTTTTCCGATTAATTTTCTTTGTGAAAAGAAGATATATATATCAAAATTCAAAAGGTATATAAGGGTAGTAAATAATATGTCCTCACAGAACAATTTTATGAGCAAGCTTGCACACACTGCTTCACTGTTTTATAGACATGATCGCACTCCCTAAATGTTTGTAA